AAAAATTAGAGAACACAATTTTTTTCTCTCCCTAGCATAGTGTAGCCGAATTTTATAGAGTGAGGAAAGGAAAATTTTCTCCCAAATTTCACGTCGTAGATATGTTGGTGTTTGTAGAAAACTTGAGTGTTTATTTACTAATCCTGTTTTGTTTTAGGTGTGCGCACTCACACGTCTTTGTAGATTCAAGGAATTGACGAAAAAGAATTGGGTATTCTAAACAAGCTTGGAGCGAGGAACGTTTGTAGTCAAAGAACCCAAGTTATCGACCTAATCGTTTGCTAAGTAAATAAATTAATTTGATTATTTTATTTAAGCATAAAATTTGTGTTATGCACGATCTGTAGAATATCTCAAAGGTTTGTAAAATTTGTGTTATGCATGATCCGCTAGATACACGCTTCCGTATAAAAAAAATCGTTTTGAAAACCAACAGCTATAAACATAGAGAATGATATGTGTGATAAGTTTTAATTACCGTGTTATTATTTTTTAATTTATTTAATAATAATGATCTTAGTTAGTTAGTTAATACACAACTAACACATGTGAAAAAATTTATGTTAATAGAAGTAAAGTAAAAAAAAGCGTATTTTAAAATCACCCAATATAAATAAATAAGAAACAATGCATATGTTAAAAAAATACTAAGTCTAATTAAATAAGGCGTGGAGAAATGGAAATGCACGTCACAATAAAATTTTTCAAAATAAAGTTTTAAAAATTAGACACATTTTAAAATATATAAAATTTAAATATACAATCCTAAAAAGGAACCAAAATGAAGAAAAAAAATTAAAGTAAGAAATTAAAAAAAGGTTAAAAAAGGATCAAAATGGGAAAAAAAAAATTTAACGCAAAAATGAAAAAAAAAATAGAGTAAAAAGCAAAAAAAAAAAAAAGGTCAAAAGAGGACCAAAATTAAAATGTAAATAACTTTTCGGACAAAAAAAAAAAGACGAGGGGTGGATTTCAATCAAAACCTCGACATTTTGGTTGAAACTAATGCCCCATTCACTTCATCGATTCGAATTTAGAATTTGAGTTTTACTACAATAAAAAGTTCTCAGAAACAGTCACATCTAATTTTTGTTTTTTTTTTTGCTACAGTAAAAAGCTCTCACATAAAATCACATCTCAATTCGAATTATAAACTCAAATCAATGAAGTGAACGGGCCCTAAGAACTGTGATTCGTACCGAGTGGTTTGGTCAAAAACCATCTTCTCACATATGTTGATTATCTAAAATGAACAAATAAATAAATTTTAAGGAAAAATGAATTAAAATGAAAAAAAATATCAAAAACAAATATGAATAAATTTTAGGATAAAAAAAGGAGAGGGTTGGATTTCGACCAGAACGTTAGCGTTTTGGCCGAAACCAGGATGTAAGATGTGGGAATGTTCTGGTCGAAACCAGGATGTGCGATTCGCACTTCTCATATATGGACATTTTCTAACATTTTAAGGCGTGAGCATCAATCGGACACCATTATAGTATTTAATTATTATTAATTTTGATTGTAATATAATAAATATTGATTAAATATTTTACTATATTTGATGCTAATATAAAATTACTTATTTAAACATTTTTTAGGATGGTTATATTCACACATCTTTTTTTACTCTCCACACCCCATTCAAATTAAAAATTTCTTATTACAAAAAAGCCGTTAATTAAAATAACAAAAAGAATAATAAACTTAATTATATAATTAATTTTATTACAAAAAAGGAACTGATAGAGAGTATTTTTTCTCTACACACCCCACATATCATATTTTTTAAATTATAAATTATTTATATTTCAACATTCCATAGCAAATAAGTTTCACTTTTTCAAGGACCATTTCAAAAATTACATGGAGGTAGTTCAATTTTCTTTACTATTTGTTACGTGAAGATTGTTTTTTCTTTTTTTTTTCTCTCTCTTTTGTTTTTCATTTTGTACTCATATTTGTTTACTAATCAATCTTTTAAGTAAATCGTTTCACTTTTTCCATTTTTTATAATGTGAGATTATGGAGTTTCTCCCCTTGATTCTTTCTTCTTCTTTTTTTCAATGTTGATACGATCAATTTTTAATGAATATAATGCAACTAAGTTTTCATTTATTATTTATTATTTAATTTTTCATTTATTATTTTTTGTTTTTTTGTTTTCCTATTGAATTTAAAAAAAAAAAAAACGCTACGCCTAAAGTTTCAAGAACAAAAAAATAAATAAAAAGATATAAATAAAAGATAATATTAAAGTGATAAATTAACTTATGTGGGGTGTGTAATTAAGGTGTGAAGAGTAAAGAAGGGGGTGTGTAGAGAAAAAGAGGGGTGTAAATAAAACTATCCTTAATAGTTTAATGAAAAGACTTAGGGGTAATTTTAAAATAATAAGAGTGAGTAGAAAGAAAAATTAATCATTTAAAAATTATAAAAAATGTGTAGTGAGAAGAGATGTGGAGAATAAAAAAGTTAGTGTGAATAAAACCATTTTTTTTTTTTTATTATAAGACGCAATCATTTAACTATTGTTCTCGCCACTAGCATACTTTTACTTTATCCCTTATCCTGATAACTTTTAACTATTTCCTGTAATTTTGCGGAATTTCTTCTTTCTCAATGATTAAATGATCTTTTAGAGAAAAGCATCGCCCCAGATTTACTAAATCCTTATCTTTCATGTACTTGAAAATGCTAAATAAGACAACATGAAATGTCCAAGAACTGCAACACATCAGCATATATCAAACCGCCGCAAGTTATATCCGATAGGACCTCACTTTTTCTTTTCTTTGTCTAATCCTATCCACCTTTCCAATTTTTCTTTATAAGCATCAATTTTATCTAGGCATGATAACCCTTTAGTCATCAGCTTAAATTCCTTCGCTTTTTTAATCTCGATATGTATGAATTCTGATACTATATTTGAAAAACTACGAATCTCAACAGTTTAAGACGTCACGAATAATTTTTCAAAAAAGGCAAGCGACCTTACGGATGGCTTGTATTGAATTTAAAATGTGGCATCATCTTTTTTTTCTTTTTTTTCTTTTTTTTTTTTTTTTTTTTCAAACCAAGGCACCATCAATGGTTGCTAGTTGAAAACACAAACGTTCTATTGATTTGATGTAAAGTTCCAAAGATCTCTCAATAAGCTAGTATCCCCCCTAAGCTCCTCTAAATTGGACAGGCAATTCTTCCGCTGAAATCTTTTGGTGTGCGGCTATCACCAGCTTGTGCCATACTTCGTTAGGTTTAAGTCTTGTAGCCATCAAACCTTGTCCCTTTTGTCACATTTTGGTTCAACAACTTTGAATATTTACAGCACTAGGCAAAATTCTCTCTCTCTCTCTCTCTCTCCCCCACATTTCTTGATGAATACGCAATTCACTTAATATAACCAGTTCAAAGAGTATATAAATAACAAGGTAATAATCAATGACAAGACTACAAGTGTAAAGTGTAAACCAACAGTTCATTCTTGTTCCGCATAAGCTTTTTTTTTTCTTTTTTTGCTGGATTTCTAACACAGTATAGATCAAAGATTAATTATCTCATTGATACAAGACTTTAGTAGACCAGTGACATTGCTACCTAATTTGTACCTTTTAGGAGCACTTGTGGGTGCCTTTTTTTTGCTGAAACCAAACATCTATTGATAAGAATAGCTGAGAGTAGATATAAAAAGAAACTGAAAAAAAAAATGAAAATATTGATAAGAATAGCTGAGAGTAGATATAAAAAGAAACTGAAAAAAAAATGAAAAAAAAAAAAGAAGTCAGGTTTAGATGCTTTAAAAAGATGGAAAGAGCACGTGATAGAGGGGACATGAAACTAAATTATCTTGTTCAGTGAAAGTACTCTGTGTATATATATTTTCGGTAAAACTACAGTAAGGCCAACCATGTTTTGCTCTTATCGTGCAATCAATTTTTAAGAATTTGATGATGGTTAAATTGACCTGAACCGTTAAAATTTGAGTTATTTTTAATTAGATAGAACACACACACACACACAAAAAAGTTAAATGCCCAAATCAATTTGACTATCATTCAGTGCCTGAAAACTGATCTGCATGGTTAGACCTAAAATGACCGGCCGTGCCATAGTTCGATTCACATAATTGCGAACATAATTAAGGCCTGCATTTGATCAACAAAACTGGGGACATATACACCTAAACCCCATCAACTTTCACTGCACACTTGACAGTTTCACGTTTGATGGGAACCAGTTTGGTTCTTCCCCATAGGGTTCCTATCGTTTCAAGTTGCTTTTAGTGAACAATAATCTTGTGAACGTGTCAATAAGAGTGGCTATGGGTCAAATTCTAAGAGCGTCTTTTGAACTAAAGAGCTTTTTTTGAACTAAAAACAATTAGAACAGTGGTTATTGGACAATAATGCAAAGGCCTAGGACTTGTTTCCCTGAACCAAACCATGAGTAGTCTTTGGCTTTTGTCAACTTGTACAACATTCAGAGGAGATCAGAAACTCTGGCAAAAATATCAGTCTTGACTTTTTAATAATACTTATTTCTTTTTTTTTTTGGGGGGGGTAAAAATTCTTTTGAAGTTTTAGGCAGACATAAAATGCTAGCCAGCTTAGCTTACCCCATGTGTAGGAGAATAGTGAAGAATACTTCTACTAATAAGGCCCATCCATTCTTGTCCCCACTCAGCACAAATCTTCTAAAATTCACTAACAACATTTGATTCTTCAATTCCAACCCATCAATCAAATCCAAGAACCAAGAAACTAGAGCCATTCAGGTACTCATAATTGGCTCTAGTTTTGCTTCAATCAAGCTTGGTATCATGATGCTAAACTAGTTGTCTTTTAAAAGTGCAAGAATTTGCACAACAATTGTTAGCCATTAGATTTTTTTTTTTTTTTTTTTGGCTAGCCTAGCTAGCCTCATTTTGGCTGGAGGTCTCTAGAATGCAAGCTTGATTATGCTTCTCTTGTCAAACATCATTTCCTAAATTTGGAAATTGCCCTTATAAAAGATGCCTTTGAGTTTCAACTAAGTATGTCATATTGAGATGAACCCAAAAATAATGGGTAGTGTTAAGAATCCTGCAGATCAACCTGAGCCAAGAGACACTTACAAGATTGCTTACATTATACATTTCTTGCTTGGTGCTGGCAATTTACTCCCTTGGAATGCTTTCATCACAGCCGTTGATTATTTCGGCTTTCTCTATCCAACCAAGCATGTTGAGAAGGCTTTCTCTGTGGCTTACATGAGTTCTTCAGTGCTAGTTCTGTTTCTGATGCTGATTTGGGGTAGCTGCTTTGGGAAGTTGAGTTCAAGGCTCACACTTAACTTGGGATTTTCTATGTTTGTTGTCTCTTTAATGGTGCCTCCAGTAATTGACTGGGCATGGTGCACTGGTTCTAGTGAGAGGAGCAATGGAACTTATGTTGTGACAGTTGCATCAGTCGCAATATGTGGTTTAGCAGATGGGTTAGTAGCCGGAAGCTTGATGGGATCAGCTGGCAGGCTTCCAAAACAGTACATGCAAGCTGTTTTTGCTGGAACTGCATCTTCGGGTACTTCCTATATCTTCACTCTTTGTGCTTAATTTACTTTTCTTATTCAACAAATATAGTGTTTAAAATAAACTAACAGGATACCATTTTTACTTGTCAGATTACATTAGAATCAAATCAGATTAAAAAACAAAAAAATGTGTCAGTTTACCGAAATTCGATGAAGATCTAACAATTAAAAGCTATGTCCTATTACTAGGGGTATCTTTTCATACCCTACCGAAGAACTCTCAAAATTGTTGTCAACAAAGAATTAGATAAGAGTAAAATCTTGAATATGAATTAAAGCATGCTACATGCAAATCAATTTTCGAAGTTGATCAAGAGTAGAGGAAGCAACTATCTTCCTTTATTTAGTTATGTGAAGAAATCAGAATATTCACCCTCTAAATTAAATAGGAAAAAAAATGGATTCTAATGGCACTTGTAAGAATTGTATTGTGCAAGATCTTTCTAGTTGCAAATGGTCAATACAAAGAATTAAAGTGCCACAACAAAGAGCAAAAAGGTATTCTCACTTGCTATTGACATAAAATATAAAATTCAACAACTTGAAATCTACATACTTGAAAGAATCTTGCTGGTAGTACAAATACATGTACCACAACTTCGAATTCATGTACCGCAAGTATTTTTTCTGCTACTTGCATGCGATAAAATTCGGTTTTTTCTACAGGCGTTCTAGTGTCAATCTTGAGGATTTCAACAAAAGCATTGCTTCCACAGAACCAGAAGGGTCTTAGGACAAGTGCCCACTTATATTTCCTTGTCAGCACTATAATCCTCTTGTGTTGTGTCGTCTGTTGTAACTTGTTATACAAGTTACCTGTCATGCAGCAACACTTCAGGCTTCTACAAGATGACGACCCATTTTGTTTAAGGCCGCAAATACGGGGTGTGGCACGAAAGATCAGGTGGGCGGCCTTCGGAATCTTCACAACCTATATAGTGACTTTGTCGATTTTCCCAGGATTCATAGCCGAAAATTTGGAGTCCAAGTTTCTGAAAGATTGGTATCCCATTTTGCTGATCACAGCGTACAACATTGCAGACTTAGTGGGCAAGTCTTTGACTGCAGTTTATATCCTGCAGAATTTAAAGAAAGCAACTTGGGCTTGCATTGCCAGACTAGTATTCTATCCTCTCTTCACTGCTTGTCTCCATGGACCAACATGGCTGAAAACCGAGATTCCGATGGTGTTTCTGACATTCATGCTTGGACTGACCAATGGGTACTTGACAAGTGTCATGATGATTCGGGTTCCAAAGTCGGTACCAGTTTCAGAAGCAGAACTATCTGCAATTGTGATGATTGTGTTCCTGGGACTTGGGTTGGTTGGTGGCTCGGTTCTTGGTTGGTTCTGGATCATTTGAGCCTTGTTCTTAGATTAGACGAGCTTAATGAAATGAAAAAATAGAGTTGAAGTAGGTTCCAATTAGAAAGAGTTAGTTGTATGTGATGCAAAAAGAGAAATCAATCTGAAGTATGTGTTATCTTTCCTTTTGTAAGTTTGATTCGCTTCTTTTGAATGACATTCCAAAATTACCATTTACCAAATTTACCTATGAGGACCATTTCTAACCTGATAATATCATAAGATCATGTAATTATTTAAAAAAAAAAAAAAAACATAGGATCTTGATTTTCATTCCAACTCTTGTAGTCATGCTTATAAACACTTTCACCTATATAATCAACTTTTTTCTAGCTGATTAAAAAAAAAAAAGGAAAAAACTTTTTTCTAGAATTCTTTAACATCCTGAACTTTTTGCCCCCCACCCCCCTTCCTTCCTTTTCTTTTGCCATTATTACTATACACTATAGGTGTCTATTTTAAAAAGATCTTGAATCTAAAAAAGGCTAGTTGAACATAATATGATAAAAGTATCTAAATCTAAATTTAAAAATAAGCACCAACGTCGACATCTTTGGGCCCGTAGAAAAACCAGTTCAAAAGTTTCATGGCAGATAAACAAAAGCAACCACCAGTGAGGAAATGAACAGACTTGTCAAAGCAAAACAAAGCTAAAGCCTTCTAACTTATTAAAAATCAAATAAAAAAAAGAAAGTCTTCAATTTGAAAGGAAAAAAATAAAATAGACACTAAAAATTTTATCTCGTAGAAAACCTTTCAATTTGAAAGGAAAATCTAAATCTAAATTTAAAAATAAGCACCAACGTCGACATCTTTGGGCCCGTAGAAAAACCAGTTCAAAAGTTTCATGGCAGATAAACAAAAGCAACCACCAGTGAGGAAATGAACAGACTTGTCAAAGCAAAACAAAGCTAAAGCCTTCTAACTTATTAAAAATCAAATAAAAAAAAGAAAGTCTTCAATTCTTCACAGTGGAGATGTTGAGAATATGGACAAAATTCTAATTCCCTTTCAGGATCTAATTTATATAAAAAATAAAATAGACACTAAAAATTTTATCTCGTAGAAAACCTTTCAATTTAAAAGGAAAAAACTACGGTAATGACTTCTACTATAATAATAACAGGTATATAACAATCTCTCATATTTTAGTAATAACTTGATGAATACTCTCAACAAAATTCTCTCACACTCACTAATGTTGAATCCTCACTATTTCTCTCACACTCACCAGGGAGAAAATTTGATAAAAGGGACCGGAGCAAAACAGCAATTGAGAATGTAGACCATTTTTTTTTAACAAAAAAACTTTGACGTGCATCTTACGTGTCAAAAATTGGGTCCTATTTAGTCCATGTGTATAGGTCATTTAAAAAAAACTCTCCCTCACAAACCAACCTCACAACTAACCGACCCTCAGGACCAACTCTCTCGCCATGTGTATAGGTCATTTAAAAAAAACTCTCCCTCACAAACCAACCTCACGACTAACCGACCCTCAGGACCAACTCTCTCGCCGGTTTTTCTCTCCGATTTCTCACCGACCCTCACCACCGAGTTTCAATCGCCGGTTTTTCTCTCCAAACTCTCACCCACCCTCACGACCGACCCTCACCACCGAGTTCATCTCACCGGTTTCTCTCTCCAATCTCTCTCGCCGACTTTCTCTCGTCGGCCAATCCTCTCTTTCTGATCTCTCTCGCCGACTCTCTCGTCGGCCGACCCTTGCCGACTTTCTCGCGTCAGCCGACCCTCTCTCACCGACTTTCTCTCGCCAACAAAACCGACCCTTTCTCGCCGACGACCGACCACCCCCCTCACCAAAAACTGACCCCTCTTCACCAAAAACCGACCACCATTCTCACTAAAAACTGACCCCGAGCACCCTTCTCACTAAAAACTGACCAAAAACCGACCCCGACCACCCTTCTCACCAAAAAGCGACCCCCCCTTCACCAAAAACCGACCACCCTTCTCACTAAAAACTGACCAAAAACTGACCCCGACCACCCTTCTCACTAAAAACCGATCAAAACCGACCCCGACCACCCTTCTCACTAAAAACCGACCAAAAACTGACCACCCTCTCTCATCAAAAACCGACCAAAAACTGACGACTTCCACGCCTGAAATGGCATCACAAAACAGCTCTTCTTCCTCAACTAAGATGGCCATTTCCCGAACCCCTGTCGACGAGGCAACAGAATCTACTTAGGTAACATTAAGGTTTTATTCTCTGATTTAAAATTAAGGTTTTATTCT